TTCATTCGATGAGTTGATATTCGAATATGAATTTAAGATTCGAATATTCGGTGTTTTTCAGATTTCATAAAAAGAAGTACTGTGATTAATAAATTTTGATTAGAACAGTGCTGGAATTATCCCTGTTTAATTTACTACCGATCAATTTTGATCGCCTGATTTCTTTCACTACTTTCTTATCTTATAAATCTTCTAAATTACATGTATTTTGCTTTGAGTAAGATGTTGTAAAGAATTGTACAATAATGCTTTATGTATAATACAAAACGTACTTTCATAGCTTTTATTGGTTAAAGATACGATCGGATCTAGAATCGAGGACAACAAATGAAATCTAAGAATATCTAACAGGCGCGAAGAGAAAACTTATCAAAATAAAATTAATTGATCATTGAATGAATGTCCGATAGAATTAATCTGTAATTAATATTGTAAAGGGCTTAATTTCAGAATAAATGTGTAAATTACTTGATTATCTCGGGTTGTGCATAATTTATATTCATTATCGGGAAAACAGTTAATTACCTAGGAAAATTGTCTATGGAAATATTTGTTTACATTGTATCAAAGATTATAATCATATCTCTTCTCAGGCAGATAATTGTAATTTATTACACGTATTGAAATCTGAACAGTATACCGTTACGGCTATCTTGCCTTTTGTGAGACGACTGGTTCCTCAGGTGGGGCTACTATAAATACACGTTTCATTTGTTAAAATTATACTTTTCTACATTTAAATCAATTATTTATTTCAAACATTGACAAATATCAAATGGAATTTCTTATTTTACATCTAAAAAAGTCTTCATACAATTTTACTTCCTATATAAGTATACCTACGAGAGTAGGATGATGCATATTTAAAATAAAACAGATTTTATTTATTTTATCGAATATTCGAATATATTCGAATACTTTCATTGAATATTCGAATATGAATTATTGACAAAATTGACATCCCTAATATATACATCTATTTGTAATAAACCACAACGCTGCTTTTATGATGATCTACGGTATATTGTTTATCATTGGATAAAACTGGTTTTGGAGAATTGCAATTCATGACGCACTGGATTACTTCATTTCACAAGCAGGCAGGTTCCTACAAATAACTTATTCAATCGCATAATCTATAGAACTTTTCAAAATATTTTTGTGATATGTACAAAACAATATTTCTATAAGTGTGCAATATTTTTTATCCTCTAAAGCGAAATTAGCCCTGGAGTGTACATCATAGCCTACTCTCCTATCTTATGATATCCGGTGAATCATGAAGAGGTTTGAAGACTTGAATGTACGCTACATTGGATTGTTTTTACAGTTAAATTGTTTATAAGGTTCGAAGAAACTCATTTTGTACATGAATGTTAGCTGAAGAGTCCATGAGGTGTTCGACTTTCAGTTTTTCAAATATGACTATATATATTTCTGCATGACGTAAAACGGTTGCAAGGAGCAAGTTGTAATTACCTGTAGTTTTACGCTTTCCAGTCGTTTCCTGATAGGGAATACATGATGAACCAATTAATTTTTACTAACTTCTTTCGTGGGAACTGGGGTTAAAATCTACAGTTATGATCATGATCTATAAACTTTACGTGCAGATTTAAGTCAGGATGTAATACTTTGAGAAAAAAAAACTTCCTGAAGATTACTTTGCTATAGCCCATAAATCTGGCTGATTAGTATGGACAAGTGCTGTTTAAGTTTTCATACATGTCCAAGATTGAATTCAATGTCGATATCGTATAGATATCGATCAAAATCAGTATTATGAAATTGGAATTACTGGATACCATATATAAGACTGAGTGTTATGTCGATATCGTGGATATCGACAATATCATGAGGATATCGTATCGATATCGATCCTGATCTGTAAAATTTATTTTCAAGTTCATGTATAGCATAATTATATAAGACCACAAGCGATGTCGATATTCATTCATTTTTGACATGAATATGTTAACAAATAGAAGGTTACGAGTTGTTATTGTCAGGGGTTAGTGTTCGGGTAAGGTTTTAGGTTTAGGTTAGGGTGAAGGTTGGTAAAACATGTCTTGGAAAAACATGATTCGATATCGATACGATATCGGCAGCAGGGCAAACTTAGTACTCGAAAAGTACTTATACACAAGTCTTGCATAAATAAAGAAATACAAGCACAAACAACAAATGACAAAAACGACTCACTATATCGACACACGATATCGACGCAAATACAAATGAATCTTTGTCATTGTAAAGTATTTAAACATAGACGACAAGGATGGTAACAACCAAGGGTTGAGCAAACATGATTTGATATCGAAGCGATATCGTCGATATCGACACTATAAGAAAATCTTCATAAAGTGATAGTATTCAAGTATTTCACATGTAAAACAAGCCACAGTTCTTTTTTTTGGGGGGGGGGGGGGCATAATCCATTGAAAAATCATGATTTGATATCGATACGATATCGCGACAGAAAGGAAAACTTTGTAAACAGAAAGTATTCTAATATACACAAAAGTATAAAGAATTAATGTAGCAAACTATAAAAAAGTAATCTGTCGATATCGTAACTTCATCGTGTCATGGACAAAATTTACAGAAATAATCACAATAATCGTGATTCTACTTATCAATACTTTGCAATAAGGAAAAAACGAAACAAAATCATCCTTAGCAATTTCTTGTGCACCGTTGTTTCTAAATGTAGAAGAGTTATTAATATCTTATACATTATCCATCACATACATTTCACTTCTCTATATGTAGTTCTATTCTGGGTTCTTTTGACTGTTATTCATTTTACATGTAAATACTCGCATAGAAGTCTAACGGTATACATGTATATTGTGTAAGACATTGGTAAACTATTTTTAAAAAAAACTGTTTGACTTCGATATATGTTTAGATTTTGACTTGGGATGAAGCTTTGTTCTTGGCCTTTTGCACGACCAATCAGCGTCATTTATACGGTTAATGAAGAGTTTATTTTACCAATAACATGCATCCCCAGATTATGAACAGATGGGTGACAAACAATATATGTCTTATAGGCATATACAAGTATTTTAAACATAAAAATTTTCACCGTGTGAATGGAAAGTGAAATGGAAATAAAAATGCCCCATTTAACAGTGTTGTCCATTTTATTTTATTTTATTTTATTTTTTTTTTTTTTTTTACAAAATAGTAAATATTTTAAACACAGAAATTTTCACCATGTGAAATTGAGAAATATATCTTGCACTAGTTAATAGTGTTGTCCATATTTGTTTACAAAATAAAAGCTTCTGCTGTGATACACGTGTTCTTGGAAATGTTTTCAGATGCCAGCTATGTTACAACTGTTTTACAGAAATTCTTTTGATACATATTTTTGTCATGTTTCTATGCGTAAGTGCTCATGAAATTTTTCGGCTAAAAATATCTTCACAACTCATCACAGTATACACTTGCACGTTGGGGGCGATTTTTATCGTTAGTCTTCCTAACGGATGTAAACATCTTATCACAATCTTTTAATAGCAAAGGGAAAATATTCATATTTTCTTTTTTAAAGTTATTCAGATCATTTAATCTTTCTTTGTAATAAATACCACTCTTAGTTCTAAGTAAACAGTAAATTATCTTTATGTATACAGGATTCTGTTATGACAAGTAATTATAAAATCAATAAATCTTCGCAGATTTTCATTTTTGACATCTTAAATTTTTGTGATATACTAAAATACTGAATTTCAATTTTATTTAGATCTTTTTGGAAATTGTTGTAAGTCTTGTAACTAAAGAAAAAAATATTGATAGATCAATAAGTTTTCATCTTACAAGAACATTGAAAGAACAAAAGGGGTTTTCACGAAGTATCAGTGCGATCGTTCGAATCAGAATTGAATTTATTTATTTTTGTACTAGTATTATTCATTTATTTTTCGCTGAATCCGCTGTCGACTCTTGATGTCACGATCCGAAAATTCTGGATCTTGTTCTAATTCTAGTTTTGTCTATAGCAAAACTTCGTGTTTTCCAAAAAGCGTGCTTGAAAGATTCGAAAGCATGCGACTGCATTGATCAATCAGCAAAACATTCGCTGGACTCTGGGGCCACGATGCCTAATAGAAACGTTGAGCCATTGAATTGTGAAACTTTTGCTTTTAAACTGTAACAAGGCCTAAAATTTTTAAGGTAATATGCTTTAATTAAACTTCATATACTAACTCCCACAACTGCAAATTGGACTGTCTCCCCTTACGCTACCGTAAACTATTTCGTTGAACTTACGCTGGATAAAGTAGGTGCTATAAAATTATGAGTAATATAACATGAAAAGCGGTAACTGGATTCATTGTCCATACCGACAACTTGTCATTACATGACGTCAAAATCAAATTTTCTTTATACTATTTTTACAAGTCACATGTTCAAATTGAAATAAATAAATAAATAAATAAATAAATAAAACAGAATAAAATAAATAAAACAAAATAAAATAAATAAATAATATGAAATAAAACAAAACAAACATATAAATAAATGAAAATAAAAATTAGATTAAAATAAATAAATATTACAAAACACACAAACAATCATAAAGCATAATTTCTTGATAAGGACGCTAGCCAACCCATCCTTCGTAAAAGGTGAGCACATTAAAAAATACATTTTTTTCAATTAAAAGCTCCACATTTTGAACATTGTGATCATTGTATTTATTTTTAAATAAAACATAAGGATCCTTTGATCGGAATACTACTAGTTTTTCAAAGAAGTGAATACGGAAGAAAAAACTTCTACTGTTAAACGGATTTCCTTTGTGAGTAATTCACTTTTGTCTATGTACGTTCAGGTCTTCCCTCATCATTGCTACAATGAACAAAGTGTCAAATATAACCCCCTTACTGTGTCTGTTAATCTTCAACAGAAACGCTGCCCAACAACTGATGAAATCCAATAATTGTGATGACGTCAGTAAACAATACATTGACAGTGAATTAAAGACTCTGAGAAAAGTACTTATGGAGGAACTGGCAAAATTCAGGTTGGAAATGAAAGCTTTACCTGTCAGTACTAGTACATGTAAGTAAGGCTTCATAGATTTATACTCAGTAATGTTATTTTCCATTGAAAAAAATGACAACCTTTCTATATACATGCATATATAAGTATTGATTAAACACAAGAAAAGACAATTTAGATTGAATGTCATCAAATGCAATTGTGATGCACAAGAAATATTAAAGATTTCCAAATTCAATTTACATGTACTGCAGTTAACTACAAAGAATCTCACAATCAATACAAATTTCAAGATGTTTAATATTTTTTAAAGGATTTGAATTATAAGTTTCTGCACCATGTTCCGCACGTCTGAGCTTTGTTTTTATTTAGAAAATCAATATAAACCCATGCACTCTCTCTGCCCAAACAGAAATAAATTCTTCACAGATATATACAAGCTTTAATATTTGAAAATGGTAGACACAAAAATATTCCAAGAGATCAAAGACTGTAAAAATCGTAATAAATTGGATGATGAATACCACTTCTTTCTTGACTGTCAACAAAACTTTTTTTTATAAATTAATCATTTTCTAAAATCAATAATATAAACATTAGTTTTTTAAAGACAAGCTACTCAGTAAAATGCAACAAATATTAAATCCAAGATCAGAATTTTTATCAGCAGTTGAAGACTTTATAAAGCAGTCATTAGAACTGAAAAAAATGAGGTCCATGTCAGTCAAAAGTTTTAACATTGTACCAACATGTATAATGAAGCCATTTTAAAATGTGTAATTGTATGTCATATATGTAATTTTTGTATGTAATTGCTTGACCCATATGGATGTACATTTGTATTATGCAATAAATGAATTTTAAAAAAAAACTTTTTTTTAATATAACGTTATATTTTATTTTTTAAAAAATATTTTAGTATCTTCAGTCAGTTGTCCCGCTGGATGGACTCTATTTCAAAGATCCTGTTATTTCTTTGGGTACGACTATGGTAACTGGACTCACGGGAAAGTAAGTAATAAATTATCACATTTTCATAAAGATAATGATACGTCTTATAGGTGTTATTGACATGACAAAAGGGTCGTCAAGTTTCTTTGTAATACTAAATCTACATTAAAAAAACGTTATTGGGCTATTGTCTTTTTTGAATGATCTGACTTTTTGGAACTTTCTTTACCATTTTTTAGAATCAGTGCGAAAGAAAGCACGGGAGCTCAAAGTATCTTAGAATAACAAGTGAAGCAGAAGATACCTTTATTCGGGACTACGTGAGAGGTCAAGGACTGACCGGTTTGTTAATTAAATTATTTCCATTATCATTTCGATCACAGATTCGATATGTTTCATTAGTCATTTATCATTGATATTTGCAACATGTATGTTCTCGTTATAAAGTTAACATAGTCATGTAAATATATTTACAAGTAATTATTCAATTTTTCTTATCTTTATGAGTATATAAAAAAAAAATTTATTAAACTCAGTGACAATAGACTGACAAACAAGCAGGATGCTTTGAACAAAGTACATGTACATGTATGTCTTGAATAATTACATCAGTCATATAAAACAACTTTATAATTCCAACATTGTTTTTTAAGACGTAAAAACACGTGATTTCTGGATTGGAGGAACCGATGCCGTACGGGACGGGGTGTTCTTGTGGGAGGGACACTTTCAGCAGTTTACGTACACTGACTGGGGTCCCGGGAACCCTGACAGAATTGGTTCAGCAGATTGTGTTATCCTGTTTAAGCGCTCAGACTATAAATGGCATGATACCAGCTGTTCTAATGACAACAGTTATATTTGCGAAATTGAGTCGTAGATTGAATATGTAGCTACATGTACCAGTAATAATTTATGTATATCACACAAAATATATTTTGTTGAAAAGGTGAGAGCACAGCAGATGTTTTTAATAGCCATATTATGTAAAATCTTGAATGTAAATACAAACTTTAGTATGATAACAGTAGCCATGTTTTATTTTTAGCTCACCTGAGCCGAAGGCTCAAGTGAGCTTTTCTGATCACATTTTGTCCGGCGTCCGTCTAGCTGTTTGTCTGTCTGTCCGTCTGTCTGTAAACTTTTCACATTTTCGACTTCTTCTCAAGAACCACTGGGCCAGTTTCAACCAAACTTGCCACAAACTATCCTTGGTTGAAGGGGATTCAAGTTTGTTCATATGAAGGGCCATGCCCTCTTCCAAGGGGAGATAATTACAAATTAGTGAAAAATTAATAGCATCTTTTAAAAATCTTCTTCTCAAGAACCACTGGGCCAGGAAAGATGAAACTCATGTGGAATCATCCTCAGGTAGCATAGATTTAAGTTTATTAAATCATGACCCCAGGGGGTAGGGTGGGGATATATTGGAAAAAAAATCTTATAAAAATCTTTTTCTCAAGAATAGCAAAGCCATGACTGGTCACTGGAAGCATCCTCAGGTAGTGTAGATTTACATTTGTTAGAAACATGACCCCGGGAGTTAGGGTGGGGCCACAACGGACGATCAAAGTTTTACATAGGAATATATAGGAAAAAATCTTTAAAAATCTTCTTCTCAAGAATAGCAAAGCCATAATTGGTCATATTGATATGAGAGCATCCTCAGGTAGTGTAGATTCAAGTTTGTTAAAATCATGACCCCCGGGGGTAGGGTGGGGCCACAATGGACGATCAAAGTTTTACATAGGAATATATAGGAAAAAAATCTTTAAAAATCATCTTCTCAAGAACAGCAAAGCTTTGTTAAGTCATATTGATATGGAAGCATTCTCAGAAAGTGTAGATTCAACTTTGTTCGAATCATGACCTCCCAGGGTTAGGATGGGGCCACAATGGGGGATCAAAGTTTTACATAGGAATATATAGGAAAAAATCTTTTCAAGAACAGAAAAGCCATGTTTAGTCATATTGGAAGCATCCTCAGGTAGAGAAAATTCAAGTTTGTTCAAATGATGCCCCCCTGGGGGGGGGGGGTGGAGGGGCCACAATGGGGGATCAAATTTTTAACAAGGGAATATATAGGAAAAAATCTTTAAAAAGCTTTTGCTCAAGAACAGCAAAGCAACTTGTTATATTGATATGCAAGTAGTTTAAAATTCAAGTCCCCCCCTCCCCCCCCCCAATTTAAACTTTTCAATACTGAACTGATTTGGGTTTTTTTCCCTAGCTAATGTGCTCAGGTGAGCGATGTGGCCCATGGGCCTCTTGTTTTCTGTATTTACCTCAACCAAGTATTGAGTATATTCAACATTTACATGAAAGTCCCATTAAACACTTATCATAATGACAGCATACCTGATGATACAAAGTAGCAATATTATTACTGGATAGCATAGGAAACCTGTTTAGGATTTATTATAAATTCAGCGTTAAATGAAAATGATATAATTACATGTCTTTCAAACATTGTGGGTACATATGGATACATGCATGACATACGAGTATATAATCAAAGTCGTGCATATTTTGTGAGTGGTTTTTATATTCCTCATTCCATAAAATATTTCTATAAATTGTAACTTTCATGATGATTTTTTTTAAATTTAGATCTTGTATAAAATATGTATATATATACATGTATGAAATGTGTAATAAATTCATTAAATTTCCTTGAACACCAGCCAATAAAATTTTAATGTATGATTTAGGATCTATATGATATTGACTGACCTTGGTATTTATTTTTATTCAAGTTACATAATTTTTATATGTAAATAGTACTATTTGCAATTATAAATGCACATGATTAATTTTATTGCGATGACTTTGTTTTAAAGGCAATAAATTTTCATCTACAGCTTACATTTGTAATGCAAAAAAATAAGCATCAATTATCTGTTCAAGTATGAGCAAAGGGGCAGATACTCCGTTCTATGTCTGTGTTACATGAAACTATTGTATACCTTGTCTCTACCTTCTTAAACAGGACAGAACAAGCGCTTTACATTAAAATATTATGTCAACTTTGATTTTCATCGTTTGAACTTTAAATTTTATGAGAAAAATCGCCTTCCTAAAAAATCGCGGATAGTGCGCACCTTCCAAGATGAAAATGTCCTAAATTTTGTTATAAAGTTTTTATGCCCCCGTAATCGAAGATTCGGGGGCATATAGTTTTTGCCCTGTCCGTCCGTCCGTCTGTCTGTGTAGCTGTTTGTTTGTCCGCAAAAACTTTAAACTTGCCCATAACTTTCGATTGGTTGGAGTTATGGCTTTCATACATTGTATGTCACATGTGTATTCCTTGAGACGAAACCTTTCTTTGGGTACCATCATATTTGACCTTTTGACCTTAACCTTGGAGTTTGATCCACCTTTGCAAAATTTTATGAGACTTTAACCTTGGCCATAACTTTTGAACAGTTGGTGCTTGGGCTTTCAAACTTCACATGTGTAATGCTTATGACAAGACCTTCCTTTGGATACCAACAACTTTGACCCAATGACCTTGACCTTGGAGTTTGACCTACTTGAAAAAACTTTAACCTTGGCCATAACTTTTGAACAATAGGAGCTAGGGCTTTCATACTTCATATATATATATATATATATATATATATATATATATATATATATATATATATATATATATATATATATATATTCCTTGTGACAAGACCTTTCTTTGGGTACCAACAACTTTGACCAATTGACCTTGGAGTTTGACCTACTTTAATTTTGAAAAACTTTAACCTTGGCCAGTTGAACAGTTTTTGAACAGTTTTGAACATTTAGTGCTAGGGTTTTCATACTTCACAGGTGTATTCCCTGTGACAAGACCTTTCTTGGATATCAACATCATATTTGACCTTTTGAAATTGACCTTGGAGTTTGACCCACTTTCGAAAAATTTTCTGAGAATTTAACCTTGGTCATAATTTTTGAACAGTTAGTGCTAGGGCTTTTATACTTCACATGTGTATACATGTACCTTGTGACAAGACCTTTGGATACCAACAACTTTGACCTTTTGACCTTGACCTTAAAGTTTGACCTACTTTAATTTTGAAAAACTTTAAATTTGGCCATAACTTTTGAACAGTTAGTGCTAGGGTTTTCATATTTCATATGTGTATTCCTTGTGACAAGACCTTCCTTGGATACCAACATCTTTGACCCTTTGACCTTTACCCTTGAGTTTTACCTAATTTAAAAAAAAACTTTAACCTTGACCATAACTTTTGAACAGTTGGTGCTAGGGCTTTCATATTTCACATGTGCATTCCTTGTGACAAGACCTTTATTTAGATATCAACAATTTTGGCATTGACCTTAACTCTTGAGTTTGACCTACTTTTAAAAAACTTTAACCTTGGTCATAACATTTGGCCGTTTGGTTCTAAGGCTTTCACATTTCATGAACATGTGTATCACTTATGACAAGATTTTCCCTTGGGCACCATTGGAACGTGACCTTGACGTTATACTTATTTTTAAAAAACTTTAATCTTCGTCATAACTTTTCAACGATTGGTGCTATGGTTTTCATATTTCACAAGTATATTCCTCTAGACAAGACCTTTCTTTGGGTACCAAAATTTTGATCTCTTGACCTGAATTTTTACTTGCATTTGAGAAACTTTAACCTTCGCCATAAGCTACCATACGGGAGCATCAGTGTTTCACAGACACATCTTGTTTGAAATGATTTTAAATGATCATTTTCCCCCCATAAAAACAAGTTATATTAACTAAATAAAGTTTAAATGTGACGTAACCAAAGCGACTGATGTCATTTTCTAATGTTGTAAGTATTGGTCATTCGACAACATCTACATGTATGATTGACTAAAACATATACATGTATGTTCATATCATAAACAGGCACTGGGACTAAAGAACGAACTTAAAGGATCAAAAGACTACTTAGGCGTTCCCTTTGGTTTCAATTTAAAGAATAACAGTCAAGCAAACTCTACTCTGTGATATTTTAATATTCAGAGTTGTCAGTAAGTAGAAGAGCGCTGTGACCCTCAAAGAATTTTCACTAGTATTTTGGGTGATCTTCGTCGACAACCATCAGTCTGCTTTATCTCTGAAAAAAATGAAGTTACATTATACTTTCTGTTTTACTTTCAATAATGTAAAAATATTGCTTCACTGCATTTAAAATGGATTGAAAATTACGCAGAGTCTCTTAATTTTCAGTCTGTCATTTCCTGTACACTAAAGGCCACAAAAGGTATTTAAATAATTATATTCAGCAAAAAACAGTTAAAATAACACTGTTTGAAATCAAATTTGAAATTTTCATAACTTTTGTAAAAAATGGACCAAAATAAGCATCATGTTGTCCTTAGGTCTGTAACTAAGCACTGTAATATTTGTAGGTCGTAATATTTGTACGGTAAAACAAAATGGAATGCATGGTAGAATTCATTGTGCTGGTATAAACTTAATATGCATATTTTTTACGTAGACACTTTAAACACGAGAATCCGTGTTGACTCTTGACAAATACAAATAGCGTAGTAATATAAACTTATTATTCCATATTTTCTGATGTTAACAGTTTCAACTTCCCTTCGTTATGAAGCAATATATCATTATCACCTGCATATGGAGTTCTGTCTCCTAGCTGATTCGATACGCAAGAGCAGTTTTTACGTAACAATTTCAAAAACGGGGCAGGCTATTGACAAATAAGTTGATGATACAAGGATATCAACAATCTCGTTTAAAGTCAACATTTAGTAAGTTCTATGGTCGATACAATGACCTTGTTTGTAAACACAATCTGTCGATCGTTAAGTCGAATGTTGACTGACATCTTTCACGCGAAATGTTAGAGCATTTTTTCCCACTGAATTGTCTACGGATTTTTCCACTTATCATGACAAGGAACACAAGGCGGGTGTAAGAGTTCGACAGTGGTGGATGCTTACTCCTCCACTGCACTTGTTCCCTCCTGTTTTCAAAGGTCCGTGTTGACGACTTTTTTTTTATAATTTGTATTGTTTGACTTTTGGGAGTGATCATTTTTCGTTTTCTTCACATTTCATTTTAAAGACTTGAATAGAAAAAATAGTAAGAAGCATAGTCATCAATGACTTCATTTCGTTATAGCGAAAATAAAGATGATACGGTATAGAAACATGCAATTTATATATTAATTTTTTAAACATTTATTATTTTTGAAATGTATAAAAATATTTACCAAAGGTTTTATTCGCAAACCATACAAATAAATAAACTATAATTAACATGTTCGAAATTTTTATGGTACTTTATGTGGAGAGATATAAAAAAAAATGTACACGTTGATTCGATGTTGTAATTTTTGTATTTACTTTCACCCAGTTAAATTAAATCAAAAACTTACATTCGACATAATTACAGTGTCCATACAAGTACCGTCCACTTATAAGGTACAAATATTCAGAATATTCTCTATTCATAATCAGACATATACTGAATTTTACTTACCTTGAGGACTGTCCTACGGCAGATATAAGTAGGATCGGGATCAGAAATTTCAATACTAAAACAGAAATATAAATGTAATCATATAATTTTTTCAGTTCTCCGGATCCGTATATATCGGAACCGATTGTGGTTGTCATCAAATTAAATTGAACTACGGATCGTGAATGAGAACTTCAGATTCAAAAATTATTTAGTATTAGAATGTGATAGTAAATTTAATATTAGTTCAAATAATTTAAAGAGATCATATATCATTAATAAAATCAATGTACATGTATCTTGTGTAAAAACCTTGCAAAATGTAAACTTGTATAGTGGGTACTAGTAATCACATAGACACAACCAAGTTTAATCAAATTGTAGTCTTTAAAGCTTTGCTGCAATCGACATAATGTAGCATTGATTTTTAAAACAGCAACTACGACCCTATTACACACACCCTAAACGGGTTAGCTATGCACTATTTACATGTAAAACAGAATGGATAAAATGTATCGGTATGTATTAAAGCAGGGTATCTTGACTTCCTTATACCGAGGTATGAGTGTGAAATAATCAAATTTACGAATTCAAATTTAAAAAATATTTTTCTGAATTTTCGAACTTAATCTCAATTCATGCACCGAGGTATGAATACCGCTTAAGTCAGATGATATAAATGTACTTGGTACAGTAGCAATATGTTAAGTTCTATGCACGGGAACACCCATTCCAGAAACATGCATCTACATATATGATAAGTACTGCAGTTTAAATTGTACACTGTATGTATATAAACTTTCATGACTTTGTTGTCATCAAATGTGTAAAATACGAAATCGACAAGTTGACATTTTCAAAGACCTTTTTTGTCATATACTTAGAAGTTAATTTGAAACTTATGGTGGCTCAAGTGGGGGAAATGGGTTCAGAGGGAGGGGTTCGAATCTTTAAATAGGATTTTGAGGACCCTCCTATAGGATTTTTAGAGTCATTAAATTGATGATAGTCTATACGTCAAACGATTTTGTATTCCCTAAGGTAAAGTTGTCTCTCCCAAGATGCCAGGAAAAGTATCATAAATTTATAGACGTAAAGAACTACATTGCAGGTATTACAGTGCCCCACTCCTCAAAATGGTGTTCTGTGTGCTCATGTTTTGTTTCTTTTTCTCTTTTTTTGAGATTTTTTTCTCATCATATTACTTCAAATCAGATTTTTTTTAATGGATCCCCTCCCCTAAATAAACCTTGATCCGGCCTTGTGAGTAAATATAATAATATTAGCTTTGTAAGTAATTTGAATTAAAGACTCAAAAATGTAGTTTTTTCCCCTAAGACTTACAGGTATAGAGCAGGTATCCCACAAGACCGATCCCCACGAGGTCACCAGATCCCCCGGAGCCATTGAACATCGTAGGTTGATAGTAATTTGACATCAAGGGAGGATAGTAGTATGTCTCCCCCATTGGTCCGACAGTCAGCTGTGGTCCCACATTGTAGGTGATTTCTGTTTGACTGAAGACCAAGTGGTATACCATAAACCAGGCAAATATTAAAACGTAGATTAGGACTACCTTCCGGAAGTTCATGCCTGAGAGAGAGAGTGCAGAAACTAAATGGTATTTGTATCTCAACTCAATCCATTTTATTGTCCACTATTGTGTACAAATCAACAAAATACATGCAAGTTTGTATGTACATGTATCATGTTTTACTCATATATGATTGTGTTATTTATAGTTTTTTTTTTTTAAATTGCCTTCGTGTATTCAACACCTAGAAATATATAGTTTAATAGGAAAAAAATATTTCCATTTTTCAAATAACTTTTATTGACCAGACAGGGTAATAGATTTTTATTGTTAATGTTCGCATATAGCAGAGAGACAAGTATGCTGTATCTCTCATATGCATATCAAACTTGGCGTATGAACAGCATAGTGTATATTTATAGTTAAGATGATAATTAAGAGAGTAATTGTAAATATGAAAAAAAAAAACTTAAATAAAAAAACATCTTATAATAATGATTTACCTTTAGTTTATCCGACCTAATAGGGAAAAAAACCCACAAAGGAGAGGCAAAAGTTTCCAGGTGCAAAACAGAGATCTACGTCACCTGCATTAATACACGTTTTGTATTGCTTCAGGGTGTGTGATCTTTACCCGTTATATAAAGCAAAACACTATTTATACTTTGCATAAATTGTGCGATATTACAATTTTTTGTTTTTCCCTGTAATGCACAGTGCAACTTAGCGAAGTATCTGAACTCATCTACAGAAAAGTTAGAAAAGGTTGCGAATTGGCACTTTTGGACATTAGTCACCCAATTCTTTTTTTTTTATTTAAAAAAAAATGGAAGAGGCTTTCACATGTAAAAATCATTACAGATACATATTTGGATTAAAGATTGTCGATTCAGGTTACGCATAGTGGTAGATTTAGGAAAGGAAAATGGGCGCTCTAAATTTTCACAAAATATTTGGTAAATTTAAAAAGGGTTCCCATGCGCAGTTTTTTTTTTTTTTTTTTTTGCTTTCTTATTTTTTTATTTATTTATTTTTTTGTTTTTTGTTTGTGAAGAAATCTTCTGGGTTTGATGCGTTTGTGTCTATGTGTCTATGTTTTCAAAGCACTTCATGGTTTGGCACCGACTTATCTTTCTGAACTAGTTTGCGAATACAGACCCGCCAGGTCACTTCGCTCGGTTTCGTCAAACAAGCTGGTTGTGCCTCGAGTCTGATCAAAAACATACGGTGATCGTAGATTCGATAGAGTTGCTCCAACACTTTGGAATCAGCTGCCAGTAGAACTTCGACAAGTTCACAAATTGGAAGTTTTTAAAAGGGAACTTAAGACTCACCTTTTTAAAAAAGCCTTTACTTGAAGTAGAAAGTATATATACGTATGACTTGTTTTAATATCAACGTGACTGTATTTTCAGAATGTCTTACTATTTTATAGGTGATATAAGATTGTTTTAGTCTTCCTTTTATTATGTAGATTGTTATATCTATGTAAATCGCTTTAGAGTTCACTTAAGATAAGGCGCTATATAAAATTTTATTATTATTATTATTATTATTTGAGAAAGGAGTTAACCTTTTTTTCTTGTCAAGTAATTATAATTTTTGAATTGGACAATTTCATGACTGGGGAAGAACCCTCCCCCCCCCCCCCCCCGGGAAAATTACTGGACCCGCGCCTGGTTTCCAATAAATACATTTAATTTTGAGTCTCTCTGCCTAGTACGTACAGTCGTACCATAATGAACCACCAAAAACTGATGTTTATTTTTTCAAAATAAAAAAAAAATGAAATATTTTTCAACTTTCCTGCCCCCACTTGAAATTATGGATCCGCCCTTTTTACATGCAGAGCATCTTTTTGTTCAATCGCTTTCTAAAAACCTTCAAAACTGATGAATGACTGTGTCGCAGAAACACATCACTGCACTAAATATTTTACAATAATTAAAAAAAAAAAACTAAATGTGTCATAACGCCACGAATGCCCCCGCAGGCAGCCAAAATTTCAAATTGTACATGTAAATTGCACATTTGTACCCGAGATAATGATTAGAAATTGTGATTTTTAATGTAAAGAAATTTAAAGAATAAATTTAAAGATCAAGGGGGATTGCTGTCAAAAATCATCGGACCACGACCAAATTCGAACTTGACCTGAATTTCTGGTTAAAAAAACCAAAAAAAAAAAAAAAACCGCACATGCAATTTCATCCTCAGAAATACACCCCTACAAAAGTTAGAGAGCGGAAACTGAAAATTTCTTATTTTTTTTTTTCTAAGGGATAACTCTGTCGAAAATCACCGGACCACGACCAAATTCGAACTTGACATGCGTTTCTATGACGTATCAATACATGTATGTCAAATTTGAGTTGAAAGTATGCAACTGTTGCCGAGATAATGAACGGAAAGTCAAAGGTGACGGATGACTGAACAGGGTAACACTATATATGCCCCCGGCCATTTTATGGCGGGGGCATAAAGAAAGAAAAAGTAAGCAAGCTTACATACCCCTAGCTACCACATTGCTTAACAATGCTACACATAATGAATGCACAGGCGCTTGACGTTTTTAACCTTTCTTTCCATAAATAAAAAATCCCCCATGCTATAATAATAACAAGGCTCGTCACGGTCGCCATCTTGAATTTTTCAGTTCAGCTACTTCGCCTCGATTTTTAGTCTACAATGTGTTTAAAATTAACGGATACAACCGTTTACCTCAAGTACTTACTTTAACTATGCCTCCACTTTTGGGCAATTCAACTCAAATCACATTAAATCCTCTCTTATTCTTAAAATGTCGCTTCAAACTCAGTCTACTGCTACCGATTCCGTAAAACTTAGAAAAGGGAGGCCGGAAGTTGATGTTGTTATGTAAATGGGAATTCCCTCTACTTAAATTTCATTGGTTAAAAGAAATGTGACGTTTCGCGGGAAAAATCATGCAAAGACAGTAACAAACTTTTTCGACATGTTGAATGCTGAGCAGGCCGATGCTTTCCATAATCATTAGAAATAATATGTGAAATATTTTTTTCTTTTATTTTGTTGAAGAAAAAATCATGAGGAAATAAAAATTATGTGCAAATTTTTTTGCACATTTGCGCATTTACGTCCTTATTAACTTCAAAGTTTCATGAAATTCTGTTGAGGGGTTTAAGTGCAATGACAAGAACAGGACTGACTGACGGAAAAAAAACATATTCTCTCCGCAACTCGTTCCGAGGGGAATAATGCATATCATGACTGTGACTAATTGTAGCCTTGGTGCTTTTCTTTAAAACTTAGAACCACTTGCCACATTCAAGCCCTAGGCATGCTAAGGGAGATTATTTGAACAACCCTTGTATACAGCTAAAAACCTATTCAGCTTATTGCTTTTCTTCTTTTTATGAAAATAAATTAATTAACCTCTATCTCAACATATTCTCAAGCACTCTCTCATCAAAATTTCAAAATAAATCAGTTATCTTCTATTTCAACATTATCATATTCTCAATCTCTCAACATAACTTCAATCAGTACATATTTTTTTTTAATCAATATTAGTACTTAAAATGCATTTTATTTATAAAAATAAACCCTGACAAATTACATAATTATGGTAAAACAAACATTGGAGAAGTTATTAAAATAAATTAAGTCCATAATCTAATATAAAATGGGCCTGAATTTCATTGTCATTGATTTGATATACTTAATAATAATACTGACAATTTTTATATTAAAATTTTCTTTTTATCCAAATCACAATTTTTTACTGTTGCACATGATGCAGTCTTCTCTTCTTGTGCACAGAGAGGTTTACAAGATTTCTCCTCCTTTTTAGCACATTGTTGCACCTTGCTTGTAGTTTTTTGTATGACTGGGGTCTTTGGTTCTATCTTGAGGATAAAAGGAAGGGAGATCCTGTAGCTAAAACTCATCACCATAACAACAACAAAAACAAAAACAATCAGTATAAACATGAATGGCTGCCACTGAGCTGGAATTTCACTGAAGAAAAGTTTAAAAGATTTCCCAATGCTGGAGAAGAAAAGTTCAATGGGATGAAGAATGCCTCTCACAAGAGCTGACCACAGGACCTGAAAAGTAAATGAAACACACATATTTAAAATCTTATCAATTTATTCCTCTGAACAAGGAAAAGTCTTACTCTACCAATATATCAGGCAATTTAGTATACCTTGAAGTATTTTTAATTTAAGACAGAATTTATACATTGTATTGAAGTTTTTTTTCTTTTCTTATTGAGAACAGATACACAAAAAAAAAGGAGAAAAAAAAAAGAATTCCCTTTCCCATGTTTCCATGTTTTTAATTTTTTAGTGTCTATCTTTTTTTTAATCAATATTCATTTTATGAATGACTGAATTTTTTTTTTATCAATATTCATTTTATGAATGAATGAATATTTTCTAAGACTGCCTCAACATCCTAGCTAGACTAGATCTGTACACCTCTTTTCCCTTTTTGCCATGATGATAGATCAAAATTATACAGATTGGGATTTACATCTCTTATCATCTTGGTTAAGTATATTTTTTAAAATTCAAATTTATGCAATTAATTCTTTGCTTACTCATTCATTTAATACAGGCATAAACTGAATGCACACCCTTCAGGGGAATGCTGAATTTGACTTTTTCCATTAACAAGTATGTAAAATATGTAAAACATTTTCGCTGATTACATTTTACATAACTTACAAGCAGTGGTGATATTTCCCATAAAGGGTCCACAAGCATTGCCTTATGGTACTTCTCACAGGGGTCATGAACCCAGGAGAGCTCCCAGTTTATCCAGTATTTAAGACTCTCCATGAAGTTCATTTCCTGAGGGACACATTCTCTGGGAGCACCCTACAGAATAAAGAAGGACAGACATCACATTGCAAATACTCTGAGAGACAAAGTTAAGCTGCAATGCAAAATTAGGAAGTATAAATTTGAGTCAAATGAACATGTTAAAATCCCTTGTAGTATATATACATGCATGTACATGCATCAATGACTGAGTGTATTACTGAAGTAAATAAATTATCCTTTTAACATATAGTAGGGATCTCTGAGACTCATCTTACAACTGAACTACTGTAAATAAAATGTCACCCATCAGTTTCAGCCATCCTGACCATGTAAGACAATTCTCTAATTGTAATTGTAAAGTTCTAATGAATAATTACAGGTAGTATCTCTTGTCGTGCAGACTGCTTATTATTTCTAACTTGGAAGCTTGGAGGATGTGCCAAAAAAAAAAGTTGTCTCCTCAATCAAAATCATGCACTAGGAGCTCCTTGGGTGGCTCATGCCTCGCACACTAACGTTTGTATGAAGCTTAGCAGAGTCTGCTGAGGATTGCCAATTGAAGCAAAACTTGTCTTAAACCAGAGTTTTTGAAATAAAAAAATATTCACTGGTCCACACAAATATTCAGTGGTCCATCAGCATACATATTGAAATACTTAAAAAAAATCAAAATTAACCTGAGAAATTGTTTTAATTCCAGTTAGGCCTTACAAAAGTTATGTTTGTTTCCTGTAAAATTCCAAAAAAAAAATCAAGAGTTGGTAGGTCGGGATTTTTTTTCTTTCTTTTTTTTTTTTTATGAATATTAGGGTCAAACAGGTTACATGGTTAAGAGGTTAAAATTCCACAAAGGTCGATTTTTTTTTACCGGTTGCTCGGACTGATTACATGAAGAAAATTACTGGACTTCTGAAATACTTACTGGTTTTGCCGGTGGATTTCAAAAACTCTGCTTAAACATGTAAAAAAAATAGAGTTACCTCAATAAACTGACTTGATCAAAGTTAAAACATGTACAATTATTAATCACAAGCAAAAGTACTTGTAATACACTGTTCGACAATTTCAAGCCTACTGCCAAATGAAAAAAATATCTCATAAAAGTATAACATGCATGCTGGCAGATACAGGTACATCTGTACTTACAACTTTCATCACAGCAACTTTCTTGGCGACTTGTTCCTGATACAGTCTCATGTACTCAAACGGAATACTTAGCAGTAAAGTCAAGATTGTCAAGAACCCTAGCACACTCCTTAATGTCAGCTGATCAAGGAAGGAAGTACTGGAGTTCTTCTTAGTTTTTTTCTTGGTTTTACTCTCACTTTGTTTTCCTATTCTCCAGAAAACATATCCACAATATCTGGTCACAATTATAAAAATTAATAATGCAGCACATATCACTTGTATAGTTCTGGCTACTATAGAAGTTATTCCCCTTGGAATGAATAAGCAGATGAAGTCAACTGTCCATAGTTTCACAACTTCACAGTCAGTTAATATGGAATTCCAAAATTCTGAAGTAACTGATGAAGACTCTGCAGATTTTACTTCTTCAGATTTCCATAATTTATTTATAAGGTTTGACAGGTATGAATCTTCTTCTAGTTGATTTCTCCTGAGATTTTGTTGAGCAAGATCTGAAAAAGAAAGAATATATAATTGTTTCAAATTGTCCCCCCCCCCCCCCAATAAAAAGAAGAAATGAACAAGAGGCCCATGGGCCACATCGATCACCTGAGCACATTAGCTAGGAAAAAGCAGAAATCAGTTCAGTACTGAAAAGTTTATGGGGAATGGGGGGGGGGGGGGGAGGACAAACTTTAATTTACACTACCTCAGAATGCTTCCATATCAATGTTAATACTAATCATAGCTTTACTGTTCTTGAGCAGAAGAATTTTAAAGATTTTTTTCCTATGCATTCCTATGTAAAATTCTGATCACTCACTGTGGCCCAACCCTACCCACCCTAAATTTGAACAAATTTGAATCAACATGTCTACCTGAGGATGCTTTTATAACATTATAATATGATTAATCATGGCTTTGCTGCTCTTGAGCAGTAGATTTTTTTCAAGATGATTCCTATACATGTATATTCTTATGTAAAACTTTGACCCTCTGTTGTGCCCCCAACCCCTGGGGGTTATAATTTGAAGAAACTTGATTCTACAATACCTAAGGTTGCTTCTGTATAAATATGACTAATAATGGCTCTGTTAGTTTTTTCTTGAAAAGAAGATTTTTAAAGATATTTCCTCTGTAACGTGTATGATCAGGTTCTTACAAGGGATAATTATATAGGTTTTCCTTTTACTCCGTCTGAGTTAGTAATTGGAATGGTTATTAAGATTGCCCTGTCTGAGGGTAAATCACACAGTACTAAAATTTTTCTTTTATCTAGAGACGGGGACTGGGTAAGGTACTACTTGCACTGTGTTTCTTCCCCTAGGTTCCTTTTGATAGATAAGAACTGGGTGTCTCAATCTTCTTCAGATTTACTACACCCAGAACTTAACATCAATTCCCTAGGATACTTGCCACTGCTGCTTATAACTTTTCATATACTTTTATTTTGCTCTTACCCTTAACTTCTTTATTGCTGATTCAATGGCCTACTTCTTCTACTATCTTCTGAATGCCTGACTTTCCCAAAGCTTTGCCTTATATACCCTTTGGCTAGTCCATATGAATGAACTTGAATCTAGAGTATGTAATGAAGCTTTCACATAAGTTTCATCTTTTCTTGCCCAGTGGTTCTGGAGAAGAAGATTTTTAAAAGATGCCACCAAATTTTCACAAATTCTTAATTATCTCCCTTTGAAAGAGGGAGTGACATTTCCTGCAAACAAATTTAAATCCCTTTCACCAAAGGATGCATTGCGGCAAGTTTTATTGAAATTGGCCCCGTTGCTTTTGACAGGAAGTCGAAAATGTGAAAAGTTTACAGACGCTGGACGACAGACAGACGCTGGACACTCTTTGACCAGAAAAGCTCACCTGAGCCTTTGGCTCAGGTGAGCTACAAAAGGGGTCCATAATTAATACAATATCATCCATTTTATTTTTAAAAAATTGAGATTTTTAAAATCATGTTAAATTCTTAGAAATTTTAAGAAGATATTTCTGAAATTTCACCAACTTTTGTCTTTCTCAAGAAACTGTAACCAGGTTACACTATCATGTTCAAATTATCAGGAAATAGCAAATGTTCTGTTCTGACAACACTTTTTTTGCATCAAATTTATTATTACATTTTCAACAGAGAAATACTTTCTTTTATCTGTTGAATAAAAGTGAATAATATTTTCAAAGTGTGAATAACAAGTTCAAGTTGAAAACTCTTTATTTTTCTTCAACATGTTCACGAAAAGTTTTAAGAGAATACACTTTATAGATAGCAAGTCTTAGAGTAAATACATGTATACCATTCTGACACTGACTGAAACAGCCAATTGAAAGATTCTCTAAATTGTTCTTAAACCCATGCTTACAATTTTCAGTCTAACAACTACTAACCTTTGACATCACAGCCTACAATGTATGTAACCGTGTTTGATATGAAGAGAGAACTGGACTTTTGCGTGAAGCACCAACTTTTACAGTCGACGGCTTACTTTGACATTTAAACCTGCCTAATGTACGGAGGTACGGAATTGATAATAGACAAGAAAACCTTAAAAGTGGTTATAGGTATGGTGTTAGGGGCACTAACATGATTTACCGCTATGCAATCAATGCAAGAGATGATGGGAGGCAGAATTACATAATTTATATTACGTTAATCATTCATGAGGGGTAGCATCTTCTTTAATCTCATTTTCTGGAGGAATCAAATAAGGAAGAAAAAACATTTCGGAAGGAAAACTAAGCAAAAGATGGTCAATGTGGGAAGAGAGGGAGTTGAGGGTAGGGTGGTTGCCATTCTCTTCCAAGACAAGGTAATATTTGCTTTGAAATGACCCATTGAATTTCCTCTATATAATCATGCTGTACTTACCAAGTCAAGTTTATTTAATACATCTAGATGGAACTACCCTTTCTTCAATGAGCTAGTTATTTAATTTTTTTTCTTTGGTATTCTGTTTGTGATGGTTCTCACATTATTATCTGAGGAATCATTTATAGAAATAAGAAAATTTCACTGCCTCTACAACCCATGAAAACAAAAGTAAGTCTGTCCATGAAAGACAAATGTTAAATATCCTTTTTTAAATATTTTATTTGACAATTGTGAATAATTTGCCCACCTCCTTTTTGTGCAACATGTATCTTTATAATTGTGTACATCGTTCTTAAACATAAGCACTCAATGTATGAATAGGGTTCTCAGTCTTAAAATTAAAATGAAACAATCTGCACCACTGATACTGTGAGCTCATACGACAATGCCTGGAAGAAGAGAAAAACTGACTACTTCACATCGATCTAATAGATTTTTCTCCACTGACAGTAAACCTTGGTACCCACAGTACACTGCAAATAGACTGTTTTTCCTGCTACTTGGCTTGTTCTCATGATAACCAAAGAATAGTTCACAAATAAAAAAGCAACTCATCTTGCATTAATGGACATTGCTGATAGATAGTTGATTATTTAGGGAATGTCAACATTTCATGCATATTGTGCTATTATCTGGAGAATATTCAATGTTTTATTTAGTTGGGTATGAAATATACTTCTCATGTGGGGCATGATTTTTTTTAATTTTCACAAGTACGAAGCATAAAGCAGGTCCAGCACAATCAGTACATTTAGCTACGTAGCTAAAATTACCTACTGTAACTTTATTTACCTACCTCAGTCAGATAGCTTTATTTAGCTATTTCAAGGCAACTTTTCACAATTTTGCTTTTTATTTTTAAAAAGACAAAAAGGAGCAAGTAAATGTCTACTTATATTTATTCTAGGTATTATTTACAGGGATTTATCAATGCTGATTTAACTACTGGTAAAAGGTACCTTTCCCCTTTAAAAAAATGTCAAAATTCCCCTTTTAGTTACAGAAATTCTCTTGATTAAACAAATATGTACATTTGAAATATATTTATTTATAATAGTTCAAAAAATAACCCCCAGATTAGCTCTCAGAATGCAGATTTTTGCTACATTTATCTGAAAAATTTCAGAGGAGCATATCCTGGGACTACCATTGTATATCCAAAACCCAGTGCTAATGTCGAGCAACCATTCTCATTTTTTCCCCTTTGCATGAAAAGGGTAGTCAAATAAAATATCAAGATAAATCCTTGATTTAAAAAGCAATCTTAAGCAGAGATAGTTTTAACATTGCTGTGTTTGAGTACTTTTAAGGAAAGTACGTATTTCCATTGTTTGAGTAACTGTACCTTGTGTGTGATGGGGCATGGATAAGTATGATTACTTCATATTGTACTCATGTTAACCAAAACTGGTTTTCTTTGTTATTTCACTCAAGAAGTAACTGTTAGGTCACAAATTAACTGTTGTATATAGCCCCAAAACTTTTAGAACTTTGATTGCAATTGCGCAGAAAAAGACACATCTCCAAGAGTGATTTTTTCATGAATTGTTTTCAGATGAGTCCAAAGTTGAAAATTATCACTGCATCAAAGTGCAATTTTCTGCACTTTCTTGGAAAAATGCTAATTTAAGAAATAAGTTTGATTTAGTAGCTAAATAAAGCTACTTCAGGTAGGTAAATAAAGCTTTGTAGGTAATTCAAGCTACGTAGCTAAATCTAGTGATTGTACCAGACCTGCAAAATCCTGTTTTACGAAATCCTGTCTTACGAATGAAATAAATTCTATACAATGAATTTTCTGATTATAAAATTTTCATTATATTTTCTTTCATTTTTTTTCACATTGCCTATTACCCGTATTTTCGTTCTGTGACTTATTAGCTGGACATTTGAGATTTAAAATTGTAAACCTGGATAACAACAATTTGAAGAAACTAGGCAATGTCGGAATGGTTCACTCTCACTCTCTATAGGAGTATAAACAGAAAAAGATACTTACAATATTTCCAAAGAAAATATGCAACTACGGATATGAATGAAAGCATTCCTGTTACTTTGATCAATACAAGTTTTGCATGTCTCTGTGTTTGTTGTGCTTTTGGTTTTACCGCTGCCGCCATCTTGTTTGGATTTATTGGAATGAAGTAAATTGTACGACGTTTTTTCCGTGAGGTACCTGAGGTATCCAGTCAACTCGTACCCAAACCGACTCGTACCCAAACCTAATCTCAGCGAGATCCGTAGAGAATAAAAATTTTGGTCTGGTATTTCCACGTAGAAATACCAGACCAAATTTTTTATTCTCTACGGATCTCGCTGAGATTAACCCAAACCCAGCGTCAACTCGTACCCAAAGCTCAAAAAGTCAAAAATTAAATCATAAAAAGAAACAATTAATTGTTTTCAAGGGTAAATATATAAGTTTGTATGATTCTAGTATTTTATTTCTTAATGTGTATTGTTAATGACTATATAAATAGTTCTATTTTCTCTGATTTTGTCACACTATAAGATAGCAAAAACAAAAACAACAACATACAAACAACAAATTGTGAGACGTAAATTTTACATTTTAAAAATCTTTTTTTCAAGTAAGTAATAAACATTATGGATATAACCATAATAAACTTTACAAATTTTATGGCATCATATCGTATGGCATTATATAGTGTTGACTCTTTGGGTACGAGTCGGTTTGGGTACGACTTGGTTTGGGTACGAGTTGACGGTAAACCGTACCCGATATAGAAGGGTGTTGCTAAAACGCGGAACGGAAAGCCAACGGTAAGAAAACGGAAAAGCTTGTATATCAAGTATTTTACTGGGCACAGATATAAATCAGACAGAAACCAGTATTTTTTATCTAACACTTTATATCTAATTAAAAATAATAATCAATACAAGTTTAGGGGCAATATAAAAACCATCTTCTTTCTGTCTTCAATAATAATAATTTTCACCGATTTTGAACTCAGATAACCATGATAACCTCACGTTTCTAAAAGTTAAATTGGCTTTAAAAAACTTTGATGTAATTGTGTTGAATATTAATAAGATCTGCAACGCGCATGACTGCAGGAAAATATTATATAATTTTAAAGTCATGATAGAAGAAGAGGCATAAATGTATGTACATGATATTGTTAAGGTTCATAAACCCTCTGCTCACTTATATAAAATGTTGTTTTAACTCTAACGATTTTCCAAAAGAAATGTGATTTACAAGTAAAATAAAAACAATTATAGTATAGCTTGCGGGGAAAAATTGGACAAAAAAGACACTTCAACTCCGCAAATTTATAAAGGAATTATAGACATTTACGTCATTAAGAGTTATCTCTCTTATCAGAGTATCAATGAACATTAATATAACATTATTTTCACTTTACTTCTCTCCATGGATGTCTGCCTATCTCTTCCTCGCTTTTCTATCTGAATCTGTTAATTAAACTGTTTGTGTTCTCTGGTCTACCCCTTTTTCTCATTGTTCGCCATTATTCAGTTATGTTGTCTATATATTAATAGTGTCACGCGATCAAATTAAGTTACTCAAATCTCTTTCATTTTTGTGGAGTTGGAAAATTTATCGTTTTTGAAACGCAGTTGATTTAAAATGTGCAATTTACAGAAAGTCCTATCTCTGTATATGAAAGATAATTATTTTTAATTTTGGTTATCTGAACTTATAAAAAAAAAATACGCCTTATAAAGCTTTAAATAATTTTAATATTCCCAACAATCAAATTGAATTTGAATTCAATCAGTAAGAAAGAATTTATCTAAAAGAGAGGAGGAAGCTTTTAGGTCATCGAGCAAGCGATGAAACTATCATCATTAAAGAAGCTGATAAAGGCGAAACCGTGGTTATTATGGAGGCAGCTTACTATGAAACAAAGATAATACAGATGCTTTCCAATACAAAATTCTACAAATAAGTTACTGAAAACCAGGATAAAACTGAAAACGTGCAAAATTAAGAAATTGTTACGAAAACACTCCTTAGCATTAACAGAGAAAGAGGAAGATTTTGTAACTGACTTTGAATATACGGAAAGTTGTTTCTATGGGCTTTCTTAAATTCACAAATCCAAATTAATCAAGGAAGCTATACAAATTGAAAGCAGAACTCGATTGGAATAAATTGTTTGTGAAAATCCACAGGATCTAACATTCCGACCGATTGTTGGGGGACCCGAAGCACTAATCTCAGCGAGATTCGTAGGGACTAAAAATTTTGGTCTGGTGTCCTACGAATCTCAGAACAGTACCACACAAACTGATTCGGGTTTTCTTGCCCCGACTTCGACCGCTTGTTTCAATCAATACGGGCTGAAATGAATTAGCTACCCGCTTCAACTTTTCCCTTTGGACATCCTTTTAAGTCTCTATCACTACAAAACTTTCGTTTCTTACCTTTAAAAGGTTTAAATCCAATAAAATATAAAGTTGTTGATTTTTCATAAGAATATCCTATTCGTTTAAACCTCCGATGCTGAAGAGTTCCAGCAATAGTCTGCTTCAAATACTTCGTACTACTACTACATGTATTTCCTATAGAAATGAAACATAGTACGAAGTATTTGAAGCAGACTATTGCTGGAACTCTTCAGCATCGGAGGTTTAAACGAATAGGATATTCTTATGAAAAATCAACAACTTTATATTTTATTGGATTTAAACCTTTTAAAGGTAAGAAACGAAAGTTTTGTAGTGATAGAGACTTAAAAGGATGTCCAAAGGGAAAAGTTGAAGCGGGCAGCTAATTCATTCCAACCCGTATTGATTGAAACAAGCGGTCGAAGTCGGGGCAAGAAAACCCGAATCAGTTTGTGTGGTACTGTTCTGAGATTCGTAGGACACCAGACCAAAATTTTTAGTCCCTACGAATCTCGCTGAGATTACCGAAGCACCTACGCAGCGTCTCAGCAATCTACTGGTTTTAATGTTGAAACCTCTCTACCAACACGTTAAAATTTTGTCCAAGACAATTTAGATTTTTTAAGACATCTACCTAACCAAGTCGATTATAAGTTTATAACACAAAACTTGTAACTTTAGATGTAGTAAATTTTTACCCTAGGAATCAAGGCTTTAAATTTTTGGATTGAAAATTACAAAGATGAAATTGACAACCGATTTACAAAGGAGTTTTTATTAGCAGCTACAGAATTAGTTTTAAAGAACAATGGGTTTACCTTCAATGAAAAATATTTTCATCAAGTGAAAGGTACAGCCATGAGTACCAAAATGGCCCTTACATATGCAACTCTTACACTTGGATATCTAGAAGAAGCACTATTAAAGCCAGTGAACAATTTGATGAAAAATTTAGCGACTATCTTAAGGGTAACTGGAAAAGATATCTGGATGATTGTTTTATTATATGGAATAAAGATGACTCAGATTTGAGCATTTTAAATGATAGCTTGGATGAATTAGACCCAGATATTAAATTAAAAATGGAAAAAAAAGTTCCACTCAACTACTATTTTTAAATGTATTAATATATATGTACGGAAAACAACAAAATTCTACAGGTATATTCTATACGAGCACTGACACTCATCAGTATTTTACATTTTGGATCCTCCCACCCACAAAAACATCAAAAGAGCAATACCATACAACATAGCCCGAAGAATATGTACAATAGTCAGTGAGGAGGACACCAGAAATCAACGTCTGGATGAATTGAAGACATATCTCACAGACCAATATTATCCTTTAATCTTAATTAACGAGGGCATCAGGAAAGCAAAGGATTTAGACATGCAGGAACTAATTAATCCAACTCCTAAGGATGATGAGGAAATCAAAATATTACCACTGGTCACAACTTACAACCCTAACCATCAAAATATTACTCCTATCGATCAAAATCTCAACGAAATCCTCAAAACAGATGAAAAAATGACGTGTTCTACCAAAATTTATTAACCGCAAAGACAGCCCAAAACCCCCAAAGAACCAATTTTACATCGGTGAATCGGGGATCACATTGAGAGCCAGAATCCGGGTGCATAAACATATTCAAGTCCCCGAGTACCGTAAGATCAAACTCAGCGAACATATTGATATAATTATTATGTGGACATGGACAATTTAAAGTGTTCCTTTTTATAAACTTTTTAGAAACAATATACAATCCATGTAATTGAAAGAAGAGAAAAAGAAAAGCATTTCATTACATGACAAGGTTATTGTGTATTAATTTTATAAAACGTCTGGAGATAATAATGAAAGCACCTAACGTTTTAGCCTGTTTTGCCCTTTCCTTTTTTATATATACATTTTTTTTTACATGTATCTATACTAGAAATTTTGCTATAAAAGTAAGATTTTATCACTTTGTTTTGCGCAGGTCCATAGACCTTAAATTATGTTGCAGGTATTGCTCTTTAAAGAAAGAAGATGGGTGAACAAGGCGTGCAGAATGCCTATAGCTTCAGATATTAAAAAAATCATATTCAATTTGTGAATTAAGTATTTAAAGTAAAGTTCTCATTATTGAAATTTATGAAATTATGATCAACAAAACTTTTCTGAGAAAAAAAGATCTCGGAAAAAATTCTTTTATTAAAAAAATAAAATGGTATTCGTGGGATTCAAACCCCTAACAATAAAAATCCGGGGTATCTTATTGCTTTGAGACTAACACGCTAACCACTACACTACACAGCTCCTGATGAATAGTGGCATTTAAGTCATGTTTGTGATATGACCCTTGACTTAATGGATTTAAAGTATTTCTCGGAAAGATGCGAATGCATTGTCATAAAAGTGTACTTTTAAGATATAGTGGGTCTTTGCTCCATGTTTTTGTATACTAAAAAATGTATGTTTTTATGCAAACTTTTAGGATTAAATTTCAAAAAAATGGAGCGAAGACCCACTCATATCGAAAAATTTTGTTAAAGTGTGAGAAAATGATCCTTTTTGTCCTCATTAGTGTGTGTATGCTATTTCGTAGGCAGATAATTTCAGCCTTTGTGAGATTTTGTGAATTGTAGAGATTTTACATTAAGTATACTTTAATGTAAGATGAAATATAAAAGAAAATTTTGATATAATTGAGATTTTATTT